TCGAACGTAATTCGTCCTGACTCAATAGCATCCTGCAATACGTGACGAAAAACCAAGCAATTGTTAGTCAAATGTGACCATGCATTATGCCACTTACAATATTTTTTACCCTTTATTTGTTCAGGGTTTGGCAATTTGTGCTTATCGCTCAGCTTTATTTGCTTATCCCTATATAACTTATCGAATATAAGGTTAGCTTTGGTTACATCGAACGAGAACGTTCTAGCCTTTATGTTTCCATCCTTTATGGGCTCATCTTTGCCCGATGGTCTAGGCTTGGCCATTATGGGACAAGTATATGTATCCCCTTTTACTAATTCGGCCAAACACATTTCGGCCTGATCGTACGATTCGTCATCGATGGTATGAACGTCAAAATTTGGGTCTCTGTAATAAGTCCCTTTGCTAGAATTTTTCATTTGTTCTTCTTCTCTTATCAATCGCTCATACCTAATGACATTCGCACTCAACTGGAAAAGGTCGGGAAATTCCTTGTCTTGGAACTTCTTTTTTAAATCAAAGCTCAAGCAGCCTTGTGCGATCTTAACAAATTCTTTTTCGGGCAAAGGTACAAAACACTTGCTTCTTGCTGTTTTGAACCTTTGGAGAAAACTTTCTGCCCATTCATTTGACATTTGACGTAGATTTGCCAAATCAGCCAAAGTGACTTCAGATTCAGTTTTGTAAAACTGAGCATGAAACAACTGTTCCAGTTGTTGCTATGTTTGAACAGAGTTCGCTGGCAAGTTAATGAACCAGGAGAAAGCTACTCCTGTTAACGAACTGGGGAAAAGTCTCATTTTATGGTAATCGGTTACATCACCACTTTACAACGTGAATCGCCCTATGTCTTCCAGAGTAGACACCTCTCCTAAACCAGTAAACAGTGAAAATTCTGGCACTTTGTACCCTCTAGGCCATGGATATGCTTGGTCTACCCAATCAGGATATGGCTTTGTGTAAGTCGGTCTAATGACAGGACGCACCCCAAAGGCCATCTGATCCTGCACGGTTTCCATAATCTGATTTCTCAACATGACATTGGGATCATATGGAATTCCTACAGGTTGATTAATCGGTTGATTTGCATGAGGTCTGATGTTTGGTCCTTGATTGGCAACAAAATTACCATAATTAGGGCTATTACCATTAGCCTGGACATCTACCCCCTCGTTACCACGTGGAATATTCTGTCCATTGTTTAGGACATTATCTCTCACGTTTGTATTACCCCCCAAGTTAGGCATACCACTACTACTACTTTGATTTGGTATTGTAGCACCTCCTTGGTTTGAAGTAGAGGGGCCAGAAAGTGGTTCTAAACCTTGACTTGGACTTGGGACCGAAGGATTATGTCCTACGATCGTCCTAGTTTGAAAGTGACTTGCAAGAGGTATAGCCGGTTGACATATTTGGCCCACTAACTTGTTCATTGTTTCATTCAACGTCTTTAGTTGTTTGGCCATATTGTCATAGTGTGCATTACCACTTTGTGTAAATCTTTCCATATTATGAATACTTCAAAGATTTACCTGTTCAACGACGTCTTGCGTGAGTTCTCCAAGCAATGCACGCATGGTTCGAGGACTCAGCTCCGTCATTGGTTCGTAACGACTGTTACTGCTCTGATTTTGTCCATCTGTTCGTGGAGAGGTATGTTGCTCCTCATATCGCTCGATTACAGACTGTTTCTCTTTTTGCACTTTCAACACCTAACACCACTGTCCCACCGGGCGTGCCAAATTGTTTCGCGCG